TGTGTGTGTGTGTGTGTCTGTGTGTGTGTGTGTTGCAATACACGTGCGGAGGCCAGAGGACAGCCTATAGGAGTTGACTTTCTCTTTCTTCCGTGTGGGAACCCTGGAATACTGCTGGGGACTGGGGACTGAACTCGGGGGTCATCAGGCTCAGCAACAGATGACTTTACCCACCCATTCTGCTGGCCTTCCCCTGTCTTTTGCTCAGCAAACAACCAGCTGCTTTGTGCAGCAGGCATCCTATAATCAGAAATTAGTGTCTGTCTTCAAGGACGTCACTGTTTAGTGTGGGCTAAGGTGGCTGACAGATGAACAGATGTGTTGGGAAAGGTGCCAAAGCGGAGACATGGTGGGGCAGTGTAGAAAAACCCACAGTGGCTGGTCTTCCGCTTGTCCTACATGAGGTGTGAGGTAGGAGCGATGACAAGTTCTATGTTCACACCTTGTCAGAAACACAGGAGGGAGCTAAGCACACAGTGTGAGCCGCTGCCTCAGGCCCTGCCGTCATCCACTTTTGGTTGTCAAGTGTCTTGCCTGTCCCTGACTCTCCGTCTCTTCTGCCTGTTCCTCATCTCTCCTCATGCCTTTCTTTAGGTGGCGGCTCACAACCGACTGCAGATCTTGTGTGCCTTTCGGGGATGAATGGCAGCACACTGTGGTCCAGTCCCCTCCCGGAGGAGGCTCAAGATGTCACATGCTTGGATCTGACACCGGGAAGCGTGGCCAAAACCATCTGCCTTGTGACAGGGACTCGCAAGATGCTCAGTGCATTCAATGCAACGTCAGGTAGTGGTCTTGAGCTTTGCCTCTGCTAGCCTGGGTTTTGTATTTAAACAGGCTGGAGACCGCTTTGCTGCTCTGGTTCCGAAGGTGATTATTAAGGGAATGAGATAAGGGGCTTGGGTAGATGGAGTAAGAAGATTCTTGTTGCAACCAGTTTGGTGATAGGACAAGCTCTTCCCCAAACAGAAGCTGCCTGGGGTCGGGGCTTGGACTGTGAATAGTCTCTCTGCTCTGTTCTCTGTACAGCAGGCAAGCGAGTGTCACCTCCTCTTTGAGTTATGCTGGTCCATATGTGAACCTGGGAACTGACTGAATGCTAGGAAAAAGAACTAGGCTTGGGGAGGGTGTTCATATGACTTTTAGCTCCTTTTTCCTCTTAGGTCCACACGACAAAGTGATGGAAATAAATCTGGGATGATAAAGATGTCTCCTTACAATGTGCTTGTCACAGGGCCCAAACACTCAGGAGAACTTGAACAAATGTTAACACCCTTCCCTCATCAGAGGTGCTGTAAGGGGTGTTTGTTTTATTTTTACCTCCTCCCATTTGAGAATTGTTTTTAGTTTTAATAAAGTATTTTATTTATCTTTCTATTTTGGCTTTTCGAGACAGGGTTTCTCTGTGGCTTTGGAGCCTGTCCTGGGACTCGCTCTGTAGACCAGGCTGGCCTCGAACTCACAGAAATCAGCCTGTCTCTGCCTCCCAAATGCTGGGTTAAAGGCGTGTGCCACCCGACTTTATTTATTTATTTTTGTTAATTTTTTTCATTTGTTTTACATACTGACCACAGTTTTCCCTCCCTCCTCTCCTCCTGTTCCCTCCCCGCACCTGAGACATGGTTTTACACTGTACCCTAGACCTTGAATTCATTAGATCTTCCTGCCTCAGCCTCCCGAGTGCTGGGATTACAGGTGTGACACACTTGGATAGTGGGGTGCCTCTGAATGGGGGGACTGGATATAGCAATCACTTGGTAGAGTGGTTACTTAGCATGCACAAAGCCCTGTTTTGACTCCCTGCACCGCATAAACTGGGCACAGTTGTACAGGCCTGTGATCTCAGCCCTCATTAAAGAGGTAGAAATAGGATCAGAAGTTGAGGGACAACGAGGCTGGCCTGGCTTGTATGAACTCCTATATTAAAAAAAAAAAAATCAGACACACAGTGTCTTAGCTCAGGACTGGAGTTCTGGACAGCCTTCTGCAGTTTCTCTGGTGTGGGCTCCTTAGTGGCTACAATGCCCTGCAGCAGACACATGCCTCAGCTCCTACTTGCCAGGAAGACTTAGATGTCTCTATTTGATTACAACATCTGCATGTGTGGGAATGGAGAGACGGCTCAGGGGTCAAGAGCACCGGGCTGCGCTTGCAGAGGTTCCCGCTTCAGGTCCCAAGCAGCACAGGGGCGTTCCCAAGCAGCTGTAACTCCAGTTTCAGATGCCCTCTCTGACCTTCCTGGGCATCAGCACACCCGTGGTACGCAGACATACATGCAGTCAAAACAGTCACACACACACATAAAAGAGAACAGTAAGCCGGGGGTGGTGGTACACGCCTTTAATCCCAGCACTCGGGAGGCAGAGGCAGGTGGATCTCTGTGAGTTCGAGGCCAGCCTGGTCTCCAGAGCGAGTGCCAGGATAGGCTCCAAAGCTACACAGAGAAACCCTGAGTCGAAAAACCAAAAAAAAAAAAGAAAACAGTAATAATTAAAACCCAGATGTGGGGTTGTTACATAGAAGTGTAACCAGATGCTGGAGGGTTTGGAATCCCACTTCCTGTTCCCCTCCCCTTGTTCTCGGACACAAGCTCAAGGGGAAAGGTGGGGAGAGGTTGCTGTCCCTTGCCCAGTCCTTTGAGTGTTCCTTTCTGCTGCAGAATGCCGCAGCTGCCCTTTGCTGGTGTAGAAAGCAGAGGTGATCCGCCTCTTTCTCCTTCACCAGGGAAAGTCATGTGGACCCTAAACCCGAACCATCTGTCCAATGGCACCTTGGCTGCCCCCGTTGTGGTGCTGCCGGACCTGGATGGAGATGGTGTCAGAGATCTGGTGGTGCTGGCCATTGGAGAATTGCAGGTATGATCTCTGTTTCAAAAGGTTTTATTTACATTTCGTATGAAGATTGCTTTCAAGAGGTGTTACTACGAGAGCTGCCTAGAACCTTGCTTTTGCAATGGCTTAGGCTGAAACAGATTCTCTTGGTGAGGTTAAGTGTTTCCCATGATACCACTGTGGTTCCGAGGACTGTGGTGTGGGAGAGCTCTGGAGGCGGGTGGCCTATGTGTGGATTCCTACTGCACCGCTATGTAGCTTTGTGGCCTTGGGAAAACTGTACTCTGTTGGTGCCCTCGTTCCTCCACGTGTCTAAATTAGAAAGCTCTGTCTCCTTGTAGGAGGCTTTGAAAATTAGAGCTAACAAATTAAGTCCCTAGAAAACTGCCTATTTCTTACTCTGTAAATGTGATATTAGTTTTACTATATTGTATCCATTTAAAATTTACTTCAACTGTAAAATAGGATGGGTTGCTAGATGGCTCATAGGATGCAGGCCTTGGATATATATAGCTCAGTGGGTAGCATGCTGGTTTAGCATGCATGAAGCCCTAGATTGACCCCCGTCCCCCGTACTGCATGAGTCAGGTGTGGTGGTAATACCTACACCTAGGAGACAAAGGCAGAAGGACCAGAAGTTCAGGGTCATCTTTGACTAAACAATGAGTTTGAGATCAGCCTGAGACACGGAAGACCCTGTTTCAACAACAACAGCATAAATCATACACAAACATTTTACTTCTGTAATCCCATCACAAAGGAGTTCCCAGTCCTCCTGGGCTGCATGTTAAGACCTGTCTAAAGAATCAGACCAAAGCCTCTCTCATTCATCAATGACTAAAGGAAGACCCTGTGAGGAGACAGACTTACGGTGTGAAAGACCCCCAGACCCCTAAGGGCCTCAGGATCCCGAGGAGCCCCCAAGACTCAGAAACCAGACCAAGAGCTGCAAAAGCCAAGAGGGTTTATTGAATGAATGCGCATTTGGGTGTCAGCAATATTGGGGAAGCTGCCCACCCCAGCAAGGGTTACAGGCTCCTTATATAGGAAAAAACCGCAGATCAGCATACAGGCAAGGGGCAGAAAGTGATTGATTACAAAGTATGATCTCATGTTAGAGTGGTCACCCAGGTGTGACCTGCTTTTCTACAAAGGAAAAACCACAGAACGTACCCTGAAAAGTCCTTGGTTGTCAGTTGTTCTGTCAGGTGTGACCCAAAGAGGGTTGTCTTGGCGATCGCCCCCGTCTAAACCATAGGATGTGCCGGGGTTGGGGCCAACCCCCTTGTAATGGGCCGAGGCCTGTGGGAAACTTTCTCTGTGAACTAAAATCTTTCAAAACTTTTTCTCTCAGCAAACTAAAATATTTCAGGTGTAGATGCAGTAGCTTAGGCCTGTAGTCCCAGGCATGAGGATTGCTGTAAGTTGGAGGACATCCTGGTCTACTTAGTAAGCTCTGGTCTGTCTCGTACCCCTCAATGATGCCATGTCTCAATTCCTCCCTTCTCCCTCAAGAAAGATAAACTTTGGCTCTGTCACAGTGACCTCATAGCTAGCCTAACCCTAACCTAATCCTAACCCTCATAGTTTATGGATTGTGGAGCGACTGCTGTGTACACAGATGAAATAGACCTTCTCCCTAGTCTGAGAAAGATCAGATTAATGAGCACTTATCTCAATTAAAATTTTTCTTATTTCTTTGAGACAGTTCTCACTGTGTAGCCCTGGCCAGTCTTAAACTCACAGAGATTTGCCTGCCTCTGCCTAGGGCCAACATGCCTGGCCTGCAATTTAAAACTTTTGAAAAGCCATATTTATTTTATTGTATATATGGATGTTTGGCCTGCATGTATGTCTGTCTACCACATGTACGCCCGGTGCCCTTGGAAGTCACAAGAAGGCATCAGATCCCTTGCAACTGGAGTTACAGATGGTTGTGAGCCACCACGTGGGTGCTGGGAACCAAACTCCAGTCCTCTCCAAGAGCAGCCAGTGCCCTTAACTGCTGAGCCATCTCTTCAGGCCCTCAATTTAAAATTTTATTTATAAGCCATGTTGCAGAGGCAAAGAGTTTGTGGTAAGTGTGGGTGCTGGTTGTTTTGTCTCATTTTACTAAATTGTTCTCTCTCTCTCTCTCTCTCTCTCTCTCTCTCTCTCTCTCTGGTGTGTGTGTGTGTGTGTGTGTGTGTGTATGTGTGTGTGTGCCTGCCTGTACCAGCCACAGTATGCATGTGGAGACCCCAGGTTGCCTTGCCAGAGGCGGCTTCTCTCCTTCTGCCATGCAAATCCCAGAGATTGATGTTGGGTTCTCAGACTTGGTGACAAATGCCTGTCCCTGCTGAGCTATCTTGTTGGTCCTACCTATCCTAATTTAAAAATGAATTTTCCTGGCTCAGTCTATTTTATTTTTATTTTTGAGGCAGGATCTCCTTATGTAGCCCTGGAACTCACGGTGTAGACCAATTCATTTAGCCTCAGATTCAGAGATCTCCCTGCCTCTGCCTCCAGTCTGCTAGGGTTAAAGGTGTGTGCTATCATGTCCAACTCTCGATACAATTTTAAAATAAAAGACCTGGTAGAACTAATTCAAAACAATCTTAAAAAACAAAACAAAACACACACACACACACACACACACACACACACCCACACACACACACACACAAAAAAAAAAAAAAAAAAAAAAAAAAAAAAAAACCACCTGTGATTACTTTCCGTTAGTTTTCTTGAACTAGCTACTTGGTTTTTAGGTTGGCCTAAACCGCCGATTCAGGAATTGTTCCCATACCATTTTTAAACTTTGTAGCCTAGCAATTATGACTGGAAGGGGGAATCCATTATTCCCACTCTAGGAAGTGTTTTTCTGAAAGTATGAGACAGCGTGGGAAACCCCCTTCTGATGGAACCCAGTTCTCACAGCCCAGCAAGGCACCACTTGTGTTTATGTGTGTCAGCGCATTTGGAGACCCCATTCTTTTGTTTGAGACTTCTGGGGACAGAGTCAGTGTGTAGCTCGGGCTTGCCTTAAGCTTCAGCAATCTTCACCTTCTAGTCTCTTTTCCCAGTGCTGGGATTTCAGGTGTTCACCACCGTAAGTAGCAGAGAAATCTCAGCCTGTTTTTTCTTTCCTTGGGGGGTGGGGGTGGGGGAGGAGAGGGAGTGGTTTTGAGACAGGGTTTCTCTGTGGCTTTGCAGGCTGACCTGGCACTAGCTCTTGTAGACCAGGCTGGTCTGGAACTCACAAAGATCTGCCTGCCTCTGCCTCCCGAGTGCTGGGACTAAAGGCGTCGAGAAATCTTAGTCTTAATACCTCTTCTGCTTCTTATGCCCTGTGGCACTGAGGGGCCTGGGCCAGGCTTTCAGGACCCTGCACAGGACTTGTTGGAGAATCAGTTCACCTGCTTTACCTCTGTCTCTATCCTGTCTATTGCTCAGCCGGCCTCTTGGAATTTCCTTGTTTGAGTACTAGTGTACAAATAATGGAACAGTGGAATTCTTAGGTCTGGGTGGAGTGTGAGCTGGACTTGGCAAAAGGGCCTATTTGGGGGGTGGCGCCTGGTCTGCTCTAGAATGTGAGGGAGAAGGGACCTGAGAAGCCTGTAGTTATTGCCCTCACACCATGTACCTGCCTGAGTCTGATCCCAGACCCATGGCTACTGGTGTCCTCCTCAAGCACCCAGGCTAATGTGACTGTCACTCTGTGTGAGGAGCCCCATTACATTAACCAGCCCCTGAGCTGTTTTGTTGGTGGAGATGTTTACCCTAATGGCTTCCATTCACTGTTCCCACCTCAGTGCCATTTGGCTGGCATCTTGAAATGAATCTGATCTCCACCTTATTTAGTAAACCCAGTGGCTGTTAGCCTGGTCCCACTAAGCTGGTTACTCCAAAGGCTAAATATCCAGTTTCTCTAGACAGGGAATTCCCTTGCCCTTGATCCCTTAACATAGGCATCCCCACACCTGCAAAGAGTCCATTCCGTTCATGGCTATCTCAACCCAAGGATACTATTACTTTTTTTTTTTGAGACATGGTTTCTCATTGTAGAGCTGGCTATCCTGGAACTTGCCTTGTAGACTAGGCTGGCCCTGAACTCCCAGAGATCCACTTTCCTCTACCTCCAGAGTTCTGGGATTAAAGGCTTGCACCACCATCAGGCATTTTGTTTTGTTTATGTTTGTTTTGAGACAGAGTTTCACTATGTAGACCAGGCTGGCCTTGAACTCCAGAAAGATCCACCCTCCTTCCTCCTGAATACTGAGATTATTAAAGGTGTGTATCACCACACATCTTTTCTCTTTTTAAGACAAGGTGGTGGTGCACGCCTTTGAGCCCAACACTCCAGAAGCAGAAGCAGAGACAGACGAACCTCTGAGTTCAAGGCCAGCCCGGTCTACAAAGTGAGTTCCAGCACTTGAAAGACAAGCCCTGTAGAGCTTCGGCTGGCCTACAGCTCATGTAGACCAGGCTGGCCTGAAACTTGTGGCAATTCCCTAGGCTCTGCTTCCCATACCCAGATATTTTGTTTTGTTTTGCATACCCAACTTCTTTTAATGCAAACTTGATTTCTGTATTTGTAGCTGAAGCCTTTCTAAGCTTTTCTCCCTGCTTATAATCAGTGAAATCATATCTTTCAATTAACCAATTAATTAGTAAAACTTTTTTTCTTACAATTTTGATACTGGCCTTTTAGAGCATTAAGTTTGTTCTATAGTGTGTCAGCTCTTCCTCTCTGTTTTGCCATACATTTATTCTAGGGTCTCTGACAAGAGTGTTTTAGAATACATAATAGCAGAGTGCTATGCCATTCCTCTAAAACTCCACTGTAAGTTAGCATTGACAGAATGAGCACTTTTTTTCTGGGTGTGTTGTAAACCACACCCATCTATTTTCTCTATTAGGATTTGTAGTGATAAACCTTTTCAGAAACATTTGAAGGGGCTGGAGAGGTGGCTCAGCAGGCAAGAGTGTTTGCTGGAGTTTGCTTCCTAGAACTCCTGGCACATCACTCACAGCTGCCTGTAACTGCAGCTCAAAGAGCTGTGATGCCCTCTTCTGGCCTCCAAGGGTACCTGCTCACATACAGCATATACTCAACAGATAGATACACATATGTAAATAAAATAAAAATAAATGAAACAAAATCTTCTAGAGCTGGGGCTAACAAACTGACCAGGGGTTAAATTTCCTTCACTGTTTGTTTTCTGAAATAACCTTTTGTTGGAGCATAGTCATTTCCTGTGTTGCGTGTGACAAATTTCATGATAGACTAACAATAAAGAGTAGTGTCTATGAAGACCATGCAACTGGAAAAGCCTACAATATTTTCTAGCTGGCTGTTCACAGAAACGTGAATCTTGAGAGTGATATTGGCAGTAGCCGTGGCCACGCCAGACATCTGATGTTATGAAGGGAGAATTCTGTGGGCTGAGACATTGATGCACCAATGTCTTAGTCACTCTCCCGTTACTGCAATCAAATACCTGACAAAAGCAACTAAAGGGAGGAAGGGTTTATTGTGTCTGACAGTGTGAAGAGGCATGGTGGCAGGGCATGAGGCAGCTGGTCTCCTATCACCCACAGTCAGGAAGCAGAAAGAGATGAAGGCTTGTGCTCAGTTCTGTTTCTTACTAAAATCTCACTTTGTTTATGTGTGTGTATGTGTCTATATGTATGCATGTCTGTATGAGTGTGTGTATGTGAGTGCCCAAGGGGATGGGAGATGATTTCTGATCCCAGATTCGTAAGCTGCTGGACTTGTCTTGGGATCCAAACACTGGTCCTCCTAATTGAGCCACAAGTACTTATGGCTGCTGAACCATCTCTGTAGCCCATGGTTTCTTATTCCGATCCAGTGAGTGTCCCAAGTTGATAGGATGAAGATGCCCACATGCAGGGTTGGTCTTCCTACTTGGTTAAGCCTTTCTGGAAGCATCTTCAGAGGAACACCCAGATGTCTTTTCCTGGTGATTCTCCTCCCTACCCAGCTGACCATCAGGGTCTCTCTGGTAGATCCTGGCTCTTGAGTAAAGATCCTCCTCGCATCAGCATCCTATATTTAGCTCCCGGCCTTAGGGGACCATATCGTCAGTAACTATTGCATTCCTTCATTTGAGGAGTCCCAGAGATATTCTTCAGCATGTCTAGTCAGCGAGTATCCATTGGTCCCATTTCTTATTCCCAGGGGGGAGAAGCAGGTAAGTTTGGCTTTGTGCTTTCCAGCCGTGGGAAGTGTTTCTGAGCCCTTAGCTCATGAGGCATTAGGAAATGAAGGGCTTCTATTAACCCACATTCTCTTCTTTTATTTCTCCAGCCAGATCTGTGTTTTCTGCTGGTATCGGGCCGGACAGGGAGTCCCATAGGCCGACCTGTGAAATACAACATCGTGGGAGTGGGGAATCTGATTGGTCCCCAGGTTTACATCACCACCAGTGGGGCTGCCTACATCCTGTTTGGCTTTGGTAAGAAGCCAGGCTGACCGTGGCTTCTGCTCCCCTGGTGTCGGTGGCCAGGCCTCCCGTGAGATAGGGCGAACCCTCACACTGGGGTTGCTGGTGTTGGCTCTTTCTCTTCTCCTGTTATAGGGCCTCTCACCTACTGTAGGACATTAACTCTGCTTTCCCTTGAAGCCTTCTCTGGAGCAGGGACTGTCCAGCATCACTTCTCCCTCACTCCACGCTTGACCAGCTCGAGTGGGCTCTATTGGACCCATGAGATCTGCTCTGTGTCTCCCGCCCGGAACCCCACCCTGGGTTAGCCTGGGTAGCTCTTTTAAACCCAGCTTCTCAGTGTTGACTCTTCCTGTGACACTAGGAAATATACAAGCTGTCGCCCTGCGGGACATCTTTGTTCAAGCCCAGAATCGAGACAGCTCACCACCGTCTCTGCAGATCGAAGAGCCAGAATGGGAGAAGCGCAGATCTGTCAACCTTTCGGAGCTCATCGATGTTTACAGGTATGGCCGAGATCTGTCACTGCCCATAGGGAGTGGTCTGGGGGACTCATGCAGCATGGAGTCTCTGAGTCTGGGTTGGCTGGTGACTAAGGGCAGAGGTTTGGGGACAGTGGAGCCCCCTGGTCTGCTTAAGGCAGTGAGAAATTCTCTGCGGTTGGTCGTGGGATGTTGGGTCTGTGTATGGTGACCACGGTACACTTCATAACTTGATTACAAAGATGGATATTAACTTCATGGGTCCAAATCAAACAGAACAGGAATGTGCTTATAAAGTGACTGTAAAGCTATACGAAGGCTTTGACCTCCTCTTCCCTATGTTTTCCTCCCAGTGGAAGAATCATTTTGACAGAAGCTAGAATAGGAAGCATGCAATCTTGTTTTGATTTGTTTTCTAATTTTCATTTACTTCTCAACTAAGAGCATATGGCTGCGATATGCAGCAATCTATGTATTTTACCCACATAGGTCTTGGCTTGGGTAATGATTGTTATTTTCCTTCCTGACAGAATCTCAGGTATTATCATGTCTTAGAGGGTTTGACGGAATGGTTCCAGTAGTGCAGAAAAAAAGGAATACTTTGATGGAGTAAATGCCAAGAGTTATTGTCCAAGCTTAGTGACAATTTCAGGCCACCTGTCCCCATCTCTGTTTGTTCTCTTTGTCATTATCCTTGTCTCTGTTACTGTCCCCAGAGGGTCCAAGTGGAGAGGTATCACACCACAGCTTTGTGTTGTGAGTTCCTTTTGAGCGTTCATGGAACTTTCTGGAGATAAGAGAACGAGATTCAATAGGAATGGGCAGTGCCCCACTTGAGAAGACGATGGTGGGAAATGAATACGAGAATGGAGTGGGTAGTACATACCCTGAGGGGTTCACATTTGTGGATTCACCTCCCCCCCCCTTCTAACTGAAAATATTTGGAAAAAATTGTGTCTCTACCCAACATATACAGACCTGGTTTTCTTGTTACTATTCCCTAAAGCGTGTAGCGTTGTGACTATTTACATTGTACTCAGAGTTATAACTAATCTACAGATGGTTTACGTCACACAGGAGGATATAGGCTGCATGGAGACTACCATTCTGTGTAAGGAGGATGAGCATGTGAATTTGATATCTGCAGAGGTCCTGGCCCCAGTTCCCACATAGATACTAGGGACAACTGTCTGTGCAAGCAGGCACACAATGGGAATGAAATGTCAGAATAAATGGCTAGGGGACTCTTATTCACAGCAGGGACTAACTGTTGAGTTTTGTTCGATACAGTGATGGAGTTGAGCTTCTCCAGTTGGTGAAGGCACCAGACTCCAACTGCAGCAGTCTCTTGATTACAACCAGACAAGGCCTGGTCCTGCTTCGGGGACAAGATCTTATGCCACTCTGGAAACTGAGCCTTCAAGGCCTGCGCAGGTTTGCAGAGTACCCTTCATCATGGCTGCTGTTAGCAGCTTTTCCATTTTTAAAATTATCTCGAAGGATTGCTTGTTACCATGGCTGGTGCAAGGGAAGGGAGGGAGGCTCCCGTTTCTTCTCCGTATAATCTGTTTATTGCTTCCTTGTCTGTTTGCAGCCAGCCCACTCCTGGGTATTTCACTGATGACCAGACATTGGACTTCCTTCTGCAGACACAGGATGGAGTTGGGATGAAGAAGGTAAGCCATGGGCCTCACGTCAATCAGAGAGAATGGGTTCTATGTCTAGCCCTGGGTGAGACTCTGGGGAGAATAAGGGCCTCTCTTCAAAGAGCTCTGGTTTAGTGAAGGAATGAAATGGAAACTAGCAGCTCATTGCTATAATCTGCTGTCCAGCTTTTCTAGGCTAATCTTAACATTCTTTCTGGAGCCTGTACTTACAGTTAGGTAGGAGGAGCCATCTTTCAAAGCTGGGTAGGGAAAGGTGTGTACAAACGAGCATCGCATTTCAGTGTAGGAAAATAAGGTTTCAGAGAAGGCAGCACTCAGTGGTGGCTGGATGTTACGTAGTCAGACTTTTCTTCCTCCCACTCACCAGTTCCCAAATAACCAATGTGAAGACTTAATATGAATTATAAATGCTGGACCGATAGCTCAGGCTTGTTAATAACTAGCTTTTACAACTTAAATTAACTCATATTTCTTATCTAAGTTCTATCACATAGCTCATAGCTTGTTACCTCATTTTGTACATGTCCTGCTTCCTCTGTATCTGGTTGGCATCTCCTTTGACTCTGCCCTTCTTCCCAAAATTCTCCTAGTTTGGTTGTCCCACCTATACTTCCAACCTGGCTACCAGCTAATCAGATTTTTACTAAACCAATCTGAGTGACAAATCTTCACAGTGTACAAAGGAATTAGTCCACAGCATTTCCCCCTTTTTGTCTAATTAAAAAGGGAAGGTTTTAACTTTAACATAGTAAGAATATATACAACAAAAACAATTATTAAGTAAGAATTACAGTTACAATTACCAGTCCATTTGTATTTGACAAAATTAGAGAAAATATTTTATTATCTATTTGTCTTTGTGAGTCTAAAGTTTTATACCTAATTTACCTTTTATCATAACTAAGAAAAACTGTAACCATGACTATCCAGTCTTCCGCTCCATTAGAGACCCCAGAAGGATGTAATGTCACCTAATGACAGGGACATCTGGCTGCCTCGACAGTCACCCAAAGTTCTTTGTAGCATTGGGGCGTCCAACTTTGGCTTAGTATATCTGACATACATTTTTGAGAAGCAGAGAATTTTGTCTTGGCAAAGTTTGGCGGTCATTTTCTTTTGCGTCCTGCTGGTCCAGTTTGGATAGTAACTGTCAGCACTTAAGGCAAGGGCAGTTTCTTTGCTGAGTGGCTAGCTTTTGCTACCAAGAAAGAAAACTCCATATGGAGTTTCTTCAGTGCCCATTATCTTCTCTGAAGTATATTGGTGCTGCCAGAAACAGATGTGTCTCACTGTCAAGAAAGGACTTACATTATTAAAACATTTAAAATACCATATTCTGTAGGTCTTTGAGGTCTTTGAAGATCATCTACCTAAATAGATAGGTGTATGACCTTGAAAATATACCTAACAAGACTATAAGTTTGACTGTTATAGATGACTGTTAATCGTATTTCTTAATTATACATTATATTTTAAAATAAGCTGCATAAGCACACTACCCCAAATAAGAATAGAATCATACATACAGTATAACAAAATTAAATTTGTATAATAAACCAAAATCCATAGCAATGTAAAATATTTTGAGATTAATAGTTGTTTTTTTGTATTAAAATAGATTCAATAATCCACCCTTTTATCTCATCATTTCTCTATTATACACCCCCTTTTTCCTTTAGAAAGAGATCTTTTAATTAACTCTTTTGTTTAGTTTCTTCCCTAACGATGACCAATAATAACTTTTAACCAACCCCCTTAAATATCCACAACCCATCTTTTGGAATGTGGGCATTGTTTTCTCTAGACTGCTTCCTATTGTCAAGAGGCACTGGAATTTTTGGAGACCCTAAGAAAATTCAAGATTACAGTCCTAACTAGAGTATTCTATGAGGCTGGATTATCTCAGCCAGCAGCCTTGAGCTGTTTTGGATGCAGGATTTTGAGGAGACTGTAACAGAGGCATTTTGAGATGCTGGATCACCTGGACCATTCATTTTCATTGGTGTTTGGTCCTCTTGTTCTGAAAATACATAAACTTTTAAAGGTAACATATAAGTATGGAATATGTGGTGTGCACTAGTCACTTAAGGATGATTTTTTGTTTGAGCAGGTAAAATATATGTTACCTGTCTTGTAGTTCTTCTAGGTTTACTTTTTATGTCTGTAGCAACAACTATTGATGTATTTATTGCAATAGGATTTGTAATCTAGAGAACAATTTAAGCATACATGAGGATGTGTGTCACTACATGCAAACTCTTGCCCTTTCTCTAAGGGATTTGGCATTTGCTGGTTTGAGTGTCAGGTGTTGGAGCCCAGTGCCTCACAAATACGGAGGAGGATGAATTCTGCTCTCTGGGATGTTTGTCTTTCTTTTTGTTTTTGTTTATTCTTGTCCTGCCACTCTCCTAAAGACGGGCTGTCTTCTCTGTCTTCTCAACTGCAGATGACAGTGGTTGACGGTGCCTCTGGCTCCATCATCTGGAGTCACAGTATACCATGTCACATGAAGGAAACACCAACCACTTCTGCAATTACTTCAGACCAGAAGTCTGTCTTCCTCTTCTGGGCAGAAGCGCTGACCACGGCATCTCTTAATTCTGTGAGTGAGGACAGGATGGAAGGGTTGGGGATGGGGATGGGGTCATCCCCTTCTCTGTGACATAGAGGTAGCTGCTGCTGTCCAGGACTGATCAGTTACCTTCTAGGGTTGAGTGGAAACAGATCTGCACTCTTGAGCTGGGCTTCACCTTTGCCTTTCCATCAACAATGTGAGCACTGAGCACACACCTTAACTATAGGCTACGACAGAGAGGGGCCCAGATGAGAAAACCACTCCAAGATACCATGTTCCAAGCCACAGGTCACTGCCTGCAGTATTTGGGTAGGGTGTGCGAGGCAGGGTTGCCCGCTAGAATTGGTGCCCAGAAGCAGCGGTAAGCACAGCTGACTTAGACCAGTGAGGTGCATTCTGCCTTCACTTGCTGTGTGCCAGGTGATGGAACTCCGTCTGTGAGGACCTGAGCGTAACAGGATGTAGCAAGAAGGCAAGTGACAGGCAAGCATGGTAGACACACAGTTCTGAATTTGTCAACCATGCCCTCCCTCCCAACAAGTCACTTTTCTGAGCCGTCTGGTTTTTGCTTGTTTGTTTGTTTGTTTGTTTGTTTTTGGCCTTCTGTTCCTCACTCAGAGAGATACTATCTTCCCCTCATTTTTGACGAGCAGACTGACCTGAAGTCTAGGTTATGGTTCTAGTTCTGCCGTGCCCTCCGTCCTGGTGTCCCCATATAGTAATGAGGTGACTGGGCCAGGTGCCTTTCAAAATAAGCTTCCGTGGGTAACCCCCAAGGGTGTCTTACACACCTGGAGGTGCAGATAAGAACTGTGGGTGGGGCTATCGAGGTAAGACGGCCTGTGAGTTGCTTGCCCCTGAGGTTGGCAGTCTGAATTTGCTCCTGGGGACCCACATGGTGGGAGGGGGAAACTGACATCCCCTCACCCCCAGCCAGTTGTCTTTCGACCTCCTCACAGGCACTGTGGCTCATGTGCCCATACACGTACGTAGACACATGCGCACAGTAAGTAACGAGGTAGGTGAGCAAAAGAAGAGAGATGATGACTTTGCCCCGAGGTGATTAGGGCGACTAGGGAGTGTTTCATGAAATAGCTTGGATATACGGGTTGTGGCTGAGAGTGAGACGTTGTGTTGAAGAAGAGTATAGAGAGGGTGGTTAGACAGTCCGAAGGAGGAAGTAACATGATTGGCAGTGGCTTTAAAGAACTGGAAGGAAGTGTGTGTGTGTGTGTGTGTGTGTGTGTGTGTGTGTGTGGAGAGAGAGAGAGAGAGAGAGAGAGAGAGAGAGAGAGAGAGAATTGAGAATACCATACGGGCAGGAGCAAGTAAATGCAGTTACAGTTTAGAAAAGTGCAGTGAAAAACTCCAGCTTTTTCTTTTGCTTTGTTTTGCTTTGTTTTTGTTTTTTGAGGCTGGGTCTCTCTCCTTAGCTCTTTGCTGTCCTGGAATTCACTATGTAGAACAGGCTGGCTTTGAACTTGCAGAGATTTGCCTGTCTCTGTCTCCCAAGTGCTGGTGTCATAACACCTGGCTTGAAAAGCTTTAACTTTTGTTTGTTTGTTTGTTTGTTGGGGGGGGCGGTTGAGACAGGGTTTCTCTGTGGCTTTGGAGCCTGTCCTGGAACTCACTCTATAGACCAGGCTGGCTTCAAATACACAGAGATCCACCTGCCTCTGCCTCCCGAGTACTGGGATTAAAGGTGTGCACCACCACCGTCTGGCGAAACGCTTTAACTTTTATGCTAAGAACTTTGGGCTTCGTTCTGTAGGCGGTGATGCATGTTATTTTCATGTCCTGCTAGTTGAGCCTAAGGTCTATCCCCAGTACACAGGCATATGGAAATGGCTTCCTCTGCCTTAAGGGCTCATGGTGGGAGTAAGGGAGCAAGACCGTTCCTGCACTTCTCTCAAGGAGGCTGCTTCTCTCAAGGAGGCTGCTTCTCATGCTAAGTCCTTGAAGGTGGGGCCAACAGTGTGCACTTTAATGAGTGTGTGGCAGCCCACACATGGGATACCGTAGTCCATCCCCACACATAAGGCATGTTGATAAAGCCCTTTTGTGGGTGTTTCTCCTCCTGCAGGGATTTGAGACACAGTTCTCAGATCTCAGCAATTTTTATGTGTAATTAGTGATTTTCTTCTGTCTAGTGAAAAGGGCTGTTTCTCTGGGGAGCTGATAGATTTTCCTATGTTTAGCCCAATGCTTACCATTGGCTTCAGACATGCTAGGCCAGCACTACCATGGGGTTTCATCCCCAGCTCCTTGCAGTTGGTTTTGGCATCCAATGAAAGGACATATATTTGGCAACTGTTCGGAAATAGCTCTCCTCTCTGCACAGCCTTACCTGCTATAGGGGGATGAGAACCCCAGCTCTGCTGTGGGTGGAAGAAAAGTCTCCACACTGACTTCGTCTTCCCCACTTCCTGCTTTCCTTCCCTGCTTCCCCTTTTCTGCAAACATTTGCAAGCATCCTCTTCCTTCCTTTGCTTGCATCTTCCTTCCCCTCTGTCCTTCTTTCTTCTGCTCTTTCCTTCTCCCCCCTCCCTTATATATTTTTGACTGTAGACAGTGGTTTGGAGTTAGAGATGAATCCGTGTTTTGAACTCTGGAAAATCACATATTCCTGTAGTTGGGGTCACGAGTAGGACTGACTGAAGCCCTTGGCTCTGCCCTTCTGTCTCCGACCGTGTCATGTGTGGGAGATGTAAAGTCACCTGTGCTCTCCTTTTCTGTGACCCTTGCCAGGATGACGTCCCAGGAGCTGAGCCTCCTGGTCTTTACCACCTGTACCTCCTGCACCCAGCCTTCCCGTCTATCCTCCTGGACCTGACCAACACCACTGGCATAGTGACAGCTTCCGAGGGTGAGTCCCAATGACATCACATCGGCGAGTGTGTCTTGGCTGTGTGATGACTTTGCCCACCCAGGGAAGGATGAGGGCATTGCTGGAGAGTTTCCTCAGTCATGGTGCCAGGCTTCCAGGGCAAGAATGCATAATCTCTGAATGTGCTGAAAGCTGAGGGGGACATGTACCCCCCGCTCCAGGACCACTCTGGAGGTGATGGAGCCTCGGCTGTGCCAGATGCCTTTTAGGGGCGTAGGATTGCAATTTAACTGTGTGGGATGTAATGGAGAGAGAGATGTTTCTTTCAGGATGTTGATTTAATGATTACTTATGTGAATATTAAACATACAAATTGCATATAAATTGGAGTCAACAGAACAAGCACAGGAGGAAAATTACCCATAACCTGGCCACTCAGAGCATTTGGAAGGACTCTGCTTCACTGTATGTCTAAGTCATACTATAAAGCAAACTTGAAAGCATCTGTTAGAGAAACCCTCATTCGGGAACCCAAAGCCCTGGAAACTGAGCCACTGCTGTCTGCTGGTCTCAGCTGGGCTCTTTCCTGTTAGTGGGCAAGGAGGGAGACCAGGCTAGCCACATCTCCCTTGTGTTGTTTTCTTTTTCAACCAGGGAGGGGGCAATTAGACAGGTCTCATATAGCCCAGGTTGACCTCAAACTGGCTCTGTAGCTGAGGATGGCCTTGAACACCTAACCCTCCTGCCTTTACTCCCCAAATGCTTGAGTACATGTGTGGACCTTTACACCAAGCCCCTCCATGTCTTTCCACACGCTTGCCTCTTGTGGACCGTCTCCTTACCTTGAGTTGGAGCGGTGCTGTGGCTCTGTGTCATGGGCTTCA